ATAAAAAAATCCGCATATATGGATTTACATTATGACATTAATTAGATTTGTTAACCAACTTATATCGAATACCCCAAGCAATGATGACTTTCTATGAAGCCACAATTAGCTATAGGGAGGATTTGGATCTTCCTGATTTAGTGTAATAAGATTTACTTGTTATTTAAATTAATTTATTCACGATTTAAAAAATAAATCAAAAAATAATAAATAATAATAATAAATTTATTCACAATAATGTTTATGAAAAATATTATATAATTATTGATATAATATTATTTTAATCGAAAATAGAAAAGGTCTTCATGTTTCTTTTTAGAAACAACAATTCAGAAATGGTTTTTGAAGACAATCTATTTCTTTTATTTGTGATGTGGTTACCAACATCAGAAAATAGTCTTTCTGATGGAACAGATGTTGCGCTTAAACATAAATATTTATTTGCTAACACTGCAAGAGTTGGTAAATCATTTTTTCTTTCCTTCCACCAAGCAAGTGGATCAACGTTGCCAGCAACATTTGCTATGCTTGGATATCTTGTCAATTCATCATAACTGATTTGTTGTGTAGTAATAATTCAATAATTCGTCAAAAATGGTATTTTTTGATGGATTTGTTTGTATTACTACAGCTGATCTTCTCAAATCTAAATTTAGACTTTTTTCTTCAATTGACTTAATTTCTTCCGATAATACTTTATATGTTGCATCATAACGATGTAATGCAAATGTTAATGATTTAAATCTTGGATCCAAAGCAGAGGCCAAAAGTCCTATTTGTGGAGTAACTGACCAATAATTTATTAAAGAGCTATATAATGCATTAAGTATTTTATTTTTTAATCCTAAAATACCAATTGGTTTTGATATCTTAAGTTTTTTTTTAAGTCTTTCTCCACTTTTTTTTTTCCTCTAAAATTTCGATTTCACCTTCATTCTCATCTGCTTGCATAAAAATCTCATCCATTTCTTCAGCAGCTTCTTCAGTATTATTATCTTCAATTTCACTAGAGCAATCTAAAATAATTTCTTCGGTGTTTAGAGGGGGGACAAATTCATCAAAAATCTCAACCTCACCATCATTATGCAATTGTAATTTTATTTTATTAATTAGATGTGACATTATAGGATATACTAAAGACAAGGTAGCATAGCTATTTCCACTTGATGTATTAGTGATGTCATAAAAGTCTTTTAATATAAATAATAATTCCTCAATTAAGGACCATTCATCATCACTCAATAATATTTTTTTTAATCTTTTAAAGTCATATTTAACATCTCTATCATTATCTATTTCCATATCTTTAATTAAATCTAAAATAGCATTTTTTAAATAAATTAAACAATTCCATGCCATATAAGTAGAATTCCACATCAAGAACTGGCTTAAGGATTTGAGTATAATTTAATTTTTTTTGAATATTTTCCTCTTGATAAATTTCATAAGTAATCCTTTCTTTGTCTAAATATGTTTGCAGAGATTTGGTATCTGCTAATTTAAAAATGTAAGGAGCAATTTTTTCACCTTGTTCCTTTTTTAGAATACTTCCAATGGTGCTGTAATTCTTGGGTTCCATAGTAGATCTGATGTAAATTAGCTTTATATTAACTATTTTTGTCTAGACAAATATCATGATCACATTACATTGTACAATCGTGATGTTAAACAAACACTATTGATCCCTGAAGTTCTTGGTAACATCAATGTTCACTTTGTCTGGTTTTGTTGCAGCATGCCCCAATATATATTATGCAAAAAACTCAATTTTGGTCAGAGAGGTCCCTAACCATATATTCCTGGAGATCCACCCATATCTGCATCTGAATTCATCATTAAAACTTTCTTCAGATTATATTCAAACTTACTCAATACTAAGGGTTTTTTATCTTCTTGTTTTTTTGAATAAGTTGCTTGGACTGTTGTTGCTGCTGTTATGACAGACATTCTGGGGGTTTTTTAGGAAAAAATATAGTTTCATGAATTAAAATTGTATAAGGGAGGACTCTGGAAACAACATTAAGGGTAAGGCACAAATATCATTACCAAAAATACAAAATATTACTTGATGTTAATACTGATGTGGTTCTCAAAAAATCAAATATGTTGTTTATGTTTGTATCATAATACTACTGTTTTTAAAACTCTAGTCTGTTTTTTTCAGGAATTCACAATTACAAAGTAATTCAATTAAGAGTAAAAAAACGGAAATTAAAAAGTATTATATTAATATTAAATACTTTTCAAACTAATAATTTCTAAAGCAAGAATTCTTTTATAAATATAAATATACACCAATTATTCTTGTACTTCAGGCTCTGTTATTGTTTCTGCTTCTGTAGTACCAAATATTCTCAAGGAACGATCTAACCCAGATGTAATCAAAAATTTGGCCAAACTACCAAATTTCATATCTGTAATTTCACCAATATTTTCAGTAATATGAATCAATTCATTCCATGTTTTAGATTGAAATATTCTAAACAATTAAAAAAAAAGGGAGATAAAAGGGCAAAGAATAAATATTTATATCATATAACTTGCAAAAAAATCAGTTATAGTTAATTATTATAGGATATATTATACCTTATATCAGAGCCACAAACAGCTATATATTGACCACTGTAATCCCAAACAACTTTATTAATCTTCTTGGTATTCTCTAATGTTAAAGTGTGGACATTTGTTTGTTTTCTTAAATCCCATATTTTAATCAAATTATCTTCTGAACTTGTTGCTAAGTAATATCCATTTTCTGAAAATGACAACGATTTAACTTTTCCTGTGTGTCCTTCCATTGTTGCAACATTTTGTTGTGCTTTTATATCCCAAATTCTAACAACTGAATCATTTGTACCTGTTCCTAATATAAGACCATCAGGATGAAATTTCACACATGAATATCCTAATACATTTATTATATATAAATATATAGTAAGCAGGTTATTTATATAGTAAAAAATCAAATAAATAATAAATAAATATAAATACCAACCATCTTTTACATCACTATTTTCTATTTTAACCAGTGTTTGTGCAGTAGCAATATCATGAAAACCCCAGGTCGAATCTTCAGAAACTGATACCAAATAATCTTTGGTGGGATTTAAAGCTATACTAGTAACTTCTGCATTGTGTATTGAAATGGTACTGGAGGTTTTATATCCTGGTTTTATTAAGAAAAAAAATTTTTTTGAGTTTTTTATATTTCCACTCGAAAATAAATAAATAAACAATAAATTATCTTTTTTACCTTTTTTGGTATTATTCCAAATTCTAACACTTTTATCAGCACTTGCTGTAAATACAATATCTGATTCACCAGCTTCAGCTTTCTCTCTCCACAAAACATTTGTAATTTTTTTTGTATGGCCTTTCAATTGACTTACTACTTTACCTTCTTCAAGATTATAAATCAATGCTTTTTTGTCAACGCCACCTGTTAAAACTAATTTTTCTGTCTGATCTAAATCCATACATAATATTCCAGGCGTTGAGGAGTTGTGTAAGGCCGGAATTGTAGAAATCTGAGTAAATGTTTTGATTGTATCAGCAGGTGTAAGACTTGGTGGTGGTTTTCTTTTTTTACGTCCCTTTGATAAACTAATTTAAAAATTTTTTTTTAATCAAGTATAGTTTAATTTTAGAATGTGCATATATTTCTTTTATAATCAAATGATAATTAGTTAATAGAAATTACATACACTACACTGGCTTCTACTAATTTTTCAATGATTGAACTACCTATGCCTTTTTCCTCATCAACCTGCATCTTTTGTGCCTCAGATGTAGATGTATCTGCAGGTGGTTGAATTTCAATATGAGATTTGATGTTTGCTAATGCACTTTTTTGTTTTTTTTTTAAAATAAAATTTTAAAATTAAATATAATCAACAATTTATAAAGCTTGCTTAGTTAATGAATTAAAAATTTTTTTTAAAAACATACTCTCTTGCAACATCCCTTTCTTTAATGGTTCTGGCAATCACTCGACGAGCTGCATCATATTGAAACAAAGCATGGCTCAATTCTTGTTGTGCTTCTTGATATTTTCGTTTCAAAGTAAAAGATTCTAACATTAAACTATCCCATTCATTTTGAAAAGCTGTCAACAATGATGGAATAGAAGAAAAGGTCTGTGGACGAGGTTTTACTATTTTTGTACCTAATTATTATTAAGAAAAAAATTTTTTTACAATTAAATGAATGATAAATAATATATATATAGATTCTATATTATATATATATAAAATAACAAATTATAGAGTTCAGATAAATTTCTAAATCATATCAAAAATTGGTCAGAAACAGCTTCTAGTTGTTTACTTAATAGTTCATATCATCATAACTACCATTCATTCAAACATTTGGTATAAATATTTAATTTATTCATCAAAAATTTTTCTTCCAAAAAAAAACTTACTTGTTTTTACTTCTAATAGATCTTCTACGGATAAATCCTCATCGGTCACAGGCTCCTTTCCAGTTTCAGCTATATATTTGATAATCAACCTTTTTTCATAAAGTTGTCCTGACTTTTTGGAAACAACAGGTTCTTCAGGCACTTCTCCAGAAACTATTATTATTTTTATATTATTATATTAAATCATCAAAATAAATAAATTTAAAGTTTCAATCTTTTTTTTTATCTAAATAAATATCTAAATAAATGAAGCATCCAATTAAAAGTATTTACTTGTACAAAACATCGCTAACTATTATTTATACTTTAGAAAAAAAAAACGATGCGTATATTTATATTTATTAAAAAAATTCCAGGTTGTAGATCAATTATTACGTTTGCGTGAAAATTGCAATTCACGCACGTGAAATTCAAATTGGCCACAAATTTCATATCCCATAGTAATAGTTTCAATTTTCATATACAATCTTTATTGTAAGAAAATATTCGTCATATACAATTATAAATATACACTGCCTGGAAGAAAGTATCGGAACCTCATTTTTTATTAATTACACAAAAACCTACATAATAACTATACATAAAATTTACATCATCATGTAGCTTAGGTCTTGAGAATATTTATATAAAATTCCACACTTCTATCATTCATATTTATTTTTTGGTTAAAAAAAAAAAACAAACTTCAATCAAATTCATGATTTTCATTTTTGGATATTTTTTGAATTGGTCGAAATTTTATGTCTTTTCTATTGGTAAAAAGTAGTTATAAACAGCAATAAAAAATTGATCAAGAAATTTGTTGCCTTTAATAAGAACAAAATTTGGTGGTAGAGCATACAAATTTCAGGATGACAATACACCAATGCATACTGCAAAAAATGTGCAAAATTGGATAAGAAATAACAACATAAACATTTTGTTTAATTGGCCATCGCAATCTCCTGATCTCAATCCAATTGAGCATCTTTGGGATGTGTTGGAAAGAAGATTAAAAAAACGTGAAAATCATCCCAAAAATGTTCAAGAATCGAGGCATGCATATCCAATAATGGATGGCCAACAAAATACTAAATTTTGTTTCTATTTTTTATTTAATTGAAGTTTGTTTTTTTTAAACCAAAAAAAATAAATATGAATGATAGAAGTGTGGAATTTTATATAAATATTCTTCAAGACCTAAGCTACATGATGATATAAATTTTATTTATAATTATTATGTAGGTTTTTGCATAATTAATAAATAATGAGGTTCCGATACTTTCTTCCAAGCAGTGTAATAGTGATTTCATAAATAATTAAATTGACGAATCAATTAATCCAGCTTTTCTGAAATGTTCTTCTAGTAATGAATTATATCTTTCAGGTTGTTCTCCAGGTATAACATGCCCAGAACCTTTAGTGATCATTGATTAATTGATTATTGTGTGTTATTAATAAATAAGTTGATTAAGCTATTACTCATACTTACCTTCAAAATACTCAAAATCTGCATTTAATTCTTCAGCCAAATAGAAACTATTTGATGGTCTAACGAAATTGTCCAAATTTCCAGTTACTACCAAAATCTATTTTTTCAAAAAATTAATATTCATTAAAATCACTTAAACGATTAAAATTATTGTCAATTATTAAAATTATTACTTTAGGAATTTTATCTTGAATGATTCGAAGACGTTCAGAAGAAACATAATGTCTTAAGCATGCTATTATATTATATACACGCATATAACATTAATATTTTGAATTTTTTTTTTATCAAATTTACAAAATTATTGATTTAGAAAACCTGAAATTTGCCCTATTGCGCCTAAAATATTCATAACCATTACAAAAAAGTCAATAAAGTTCGGTTTCAAATCAAATTGAAATGAACAATTAATGAATTAATTAATTTACCTCTAACAGGTTGAATTCTAGTATTACTAATACGTTGAACCATTGACTGTTTGTAACAAACAAAAGGCATTTATTATTGTTGTTGTTGTTGTTGTTATCATCATTAATTAGTATTTAATAATTATAATTAATGAAAGTTACTTCAACTACACGCTCCCTATTTGTATTATGTGATGATCCAATTGATGGAGATTTCAGCCAATGCTAAATTACAGCAATTAATGAATAAATATTTTATAAATAAAGAGCAACATTTATATATTCAATTAAACTTCTTACCTCGGGAAAGAGCGCATCAACAGCTAATTGAACTTTGTCAATAGGGTTTTTCTTCATGAAAAGTTTCATGAGTGTGATTATACAACTGATCTAATAATAACGATTATAAAACAGAAATCAACCAATCATTAATAATCAATATTTAACTAAATAATATCTCAACCACCATCACACATATAGTCATAATCATTTTACATACTGGTGGTATTGTTAATCCCGAAGTAGTTGATGTAAGACATAAAGATTTGAAGTAGTGAGGTTTGAGTAATACTAATTCTTGAGAAATCATTCCACCCATGGAAATACCAACCAAATTAACATCACTTGTCCATCCAATCTCATTCAATAAATCAATCGTATCACATGCCATTTCCCTGGTACTATAAATTTTATTCGTTAGATGTTATTTATATATTATATATATTAGCTCTCATACCCAAAAGAACTAGTTGATTTATTTACCTATAAAGTCCACTTGGTGAATCTAATTTAAAAAAATAGAGTAAAATGTCAATGCTAAAAAGTTGCATGAATGATGTCGAGATATTGAATACCATTCATTATTGGATAATTTTGTTTTAATTTTTTACCTGACCATCCAACACCACGATTATCAAAAACGCATATTTGATAATCTTTACTTCCAAAATATTTAAGCTAAATAAAGTAATTCAATTAATCAACCAAATCTAGTTAGTAATAATAATGAATTACATTATACCTGATTTTCCCAAGCACCTAATGTTGTATTCAATCCTAGTTGGGAAATTATTATTAGGTGATTGTTAGTCAGTCATTCAACTAACCATTTAAAATAATCACAAATTATTATTTTTTACCCATAATAAATAATATTTTATTTGCTCCACTTCCATGAATCTCATAATAAATCTTTATTGGTGAATTATTACCATCAATTATACTATTTGTAAAGCCCACTTCAACAAAATCTTTCTTGACCAAAGTAGTTGCTGTCCTTGACATATTCTTTATCACAAAGTTCTTTAAAAGTTTGGAATAGGTTTCTCGGCAGGAAGAACTTTAATTATTATTGTTGTTGTGCTACAAGCAACAATTGCATTGTCCTATATAAAAAGTAAATAATGTTTATTTTAATTTTCGCCACTGATTTTTTTATTGTTTATAATATTCCTTTCTTATTGTCAAGTATTCAAGAATTTATAAATTAAATTCATATTTCGTCATCTCATCCATCATCTTGTATTATTTTTTCACGGCAAAACAATTTTACAAAAAACCAAAAAGTCTCGACCAAAAACATCCAGTGAGCCTCATCAATCAGAAATCAATATAAAGGTGATGGAATTAAAGACAACAATGACAAAGTTTATTGTGAAGATCCACCTCTTATCATAGATAGGATGGAATTATATTGTACTTGATATCCAAAAATGTAATGTATCCTTTCAGAGAACGTAGCCAATTCACCAGCAACAACCTTCAATAGTCTGAGGCAATATTTATTGTAAACCAAGTTCCCCAATTTGGCACCATCCAAGATCGTAATAGGGATTATAGCGGTAGTTATTTATTTTTGCTCTGGTGTTATTCCATTAGATAGAATCTGTTCTGTATTCGCAACTCAAAAAGGTCATTTAAAGGTTTGGAAAAAGTATTTGATTCAATCCAAATTTTTTCTAATGAATAAATATATGCATATATAACATATACTTACACAAATGTATTATTATTTAGGATAAAGATGATAGTATTAGGCGAAAAAAGCATCAAATTGAATTAGCGATACAGAAACAACATGATGACTTGGCTCACTTTTCTGACGATAGAGTAAATCACGTTACAAATCAAAGTATTTGAATTTAAAAGAAATATCGAATTTATTATTATTATTATCATCTTCATTTAAATATTAGATAACCTCATCATATAAAATTAACAGGTAACTTACAAATGCAATAATTGCATAACATCACCTGATGCATTTCTTCAAATTGATCCAGCCCTATCATGCCTACATTTTCTACAACTAACATTCATACTATAATGCTAAGGCTCAATAACCAAACATGCTAGAGAAAACACTCACTGCGGCTTTATTTACAAGAATGGGAGCAGAGAATTTTGTTAATAAAAAAAAAGCTATAAGGTTTAATTGATGATTCTTGTATGTGACCGTAAAATCAAACTCCTGAGCATAACGATGAACTTTCACAAAAAAAAACAATCACAACCCATTTCAGCAAAAAATATTGCCGAATCTCAAAATTTGATTGCGACTTATCTGTTAGGATATGATCAGCAATCCTTAACCAAAACGTATTAGTGAGTGATCTTATGTTCAGTTTGAAAAAATGACTTGAAGATCATTACGCAATTTGAAACAAAATGGGAATTTCGAATGAATTTAAAGTTGATGCAAGAATATATCTTTTATTAGCAATGAAAATTAATTTTCTAAATTTATTGATGAATGGGCATTTTCGATAGAAAAAACACAACTAATTTCAATGATAAGACTACCCCATATGAGCACTAATTAACTTTATGTCCAATAAAAGGGATTATTTAAAGAAAAGATAAAAAGTTATCACATGATACCAAATGTTGAAAAGCGTACTCACGACTTTTATCTCTTGAATTAGCTCACACCGGGTTTGTTGCTGCAGATGTTGGAAAGAAAGGCTAAGTTCCCACCATGTAATTCGTTATAAAGAAGCTGAAGATCATGTAACAGCCATTACCTTTGAGACTTTAAAGGCTGAAGAACGTAGTTTATTAAAAAGGAACTTGATATAAGGGAAATAATTAATGAATGATCTTGAATTTCCAATTGAAGTACCAAATGATGATAAATATTTACAATATCAAAACAATAGCAGCAACATTATTTACATCAATGTTTGATAGTAATGATGATAATAAAATGATTCCGAAGCCAATTGTATCAGCAGCAGCAATAGCACTACCAGCAACCAATATTACCGGCACAGTCACCACCAACGGTTAGCATTCGTATCAGAATTAATGGATTAGTGTTTTTCAAGGTACACAACATAATAAAGCGCGAGATTTTTTATAAGTGCAATTTATTTATTATTGCTTAACAATTATTAGCAAATAAATAAATTTGATATTAATAAATAAATAAGAATTTGCTTCTTTTTTAATTCTTTGCTTAGTAAAATAATAAAATTAAAAATCATCTAAAATTGGAAAATCATTTCCTCTTCTAAATAAAAAAAAAAATAAAAAATTTTCTACCCTTATCATCATCATCATCATCATCATCAATACTAATTCTCACTCTGAAGTAAAAGCTCATCGTCCAAAGTAAAAACTACTTCTTCCTTTTCCTTTTTCTTTTTCACAGTAGTGGTAATAGTAGAAATAACATTTTGTGGTTGTTGAAGTTTATTATTATTATTTCCATTTTGTGCCTTTTGTTCGGATTTAGGTAATTTCCTTTCCTTATCTAGATTATTCTTGTTTATTAAAGTCGCAATACTCTAAATTAGAATAAAAAAATGAGAAAGAGGATTAATAATAATATGGAAAACTTACAGGTTGGTGTAATTTACAGTAACATTCGTGAAATATTTGGCTCTTTCCAACTAATCGTTCTACCAAAAGTATCCCTGCATCATGTGCACAGAAGACATGAAAAGCTGTAGTACATTTGCAACATTGAATGCATACACCTTCTGATGTCTTGCATATTTCACACATCTATATAAATATAAATACAAAATATAAATATATTTTCTCGGCAAAAAAAAATAAAAAAAAAATAAAAAAATAAATAAAAGTTTACCATCTTTTTCCTTGAATTAGGAATATCTGTAATTTGAATAACAACAGTTTCTTCGCCAAATTCTTGTCGATTGGCAACAAAAGTTTCTGGAATAAAAGTTGCACATAGGCTTTTTTTCCCAATTGGAAAGGAGAATATCGACAGGTTGTTAAGATTTCGATTGTATGCAACAACAAAAATAATATACAATATATATAATTTAAAATTATGCTTACTAATGCGCATATCTTCCATCCATAGTATGTAAAACTTCTTTTCCACGAACAGGACATAAATAACACTTTTAAGAGGGGTGAAGAAGGGTGATAATTAAATTATGAATCCAAATAATGTGCAACGAAAAAAACAATCTCGAAATAATACCATAACATCATTTTTAGCAATTATACTATTTTTGTCAGTAGGATAAGGTTCATATTTATTTGATTTTTTGATTTTAGAAGCGGATCTTTCAATGGTTTCAGTAGAATTTTTATATATTGATTGAATCTCTTTCGATATTCCTTTATTATTATTTTTTATACGATTTATATTTGAAGAAGAAGAAGCAGAAGCTGATGATGATGATGACGACGACGACGACGACGATGATACTATTGGTTCATTGTAATCATATACTGATTGTGACGACGATGACGATGATACGTTCAACATATTATCACTGTTATAACTTAAATATTTTACTTTACGATCTGTTTTGTGTTTTTTATTACTGGTAGAAGGTTTAATCCTATGAGAATTAGGAAATATTGGTGGACCGAAATTTGAATCTGGCGTTTCGTTGTAATGGTAGTTGTTCTCGTCCTTATTTTGTAAGAAATGACCAAAAAGTGATTTGACATCAATCTGAACGCTGTCAGAGCGACATGTACATGATTTTGCCTTGATACCATGTTCTATCCAATCCTCAAAAGCAAAATTTACACTCTCTGCACAATTAAAGCCTAAATTAAAGCCAGAATGATATCCCCTCGGAAATGTTATTACAAATTCACCTTCTCGTTGAACCAATCGATGATATATTATAGGTGCTTCACTTAAATTAATTGGCGAAGCTATATATTCTTTGTGACGTAAAAACTGTGAACATTCTTTTTGTGCGTGGGGAAACCATCCTGAATTTTAATAATATAAATTATAATTAGTGTGTGTGTGTATTTATGATGATTTTATTCGAAAAATGGATTTCGCATTATCATTATAATGACTATAACATTTACATTATGTCAATCATAAGCTTATGGTGATGATAATATGCAAGGAAGAAAGGAAAGTATGTTTGAACAAATTAAAATCATTGGTTGGGCAAATTCATTCATTTCAAAAAAAATATTTGTTTTAATGTTACATAAGGGGTGACAAATAGCTGGACGTGATACGATCAAGAAACGATTTTTTCCTAAAAAATAAATGAACAATACCTTTCATATGTAATTCAAAATTAGAAGCTCTTAAGGGTGAGATGGAATACCATTGTTTCGGTGCACCAAAGTGGATATAATTGATAGAGTAAAGGTCTTTGTCCTGAATAATCCAGAGAAATTACATATTTATATACATGTATAGTATATATATTAACAATATATAATCTATTTTTTTTTTAATTTAATAAGAATTAAGAATACTAATAACCTCAATGTGCCATGCGAAGCTTGCCTTCCACATCCCAAAATATAGGTAAGTTTTATTCACTCCAGGGATTGACTTTAATTCATTTAATAAATTATCCAGATTGTTCAAGTTCCAATATTTAGTACAATCAGAAAATAAAGAGCCTAATGAATGTATGAATTCAAATTTACTATATTAATTACTATTATTTCAAGTTAACTACATATAAATTTATAAATTTTTTCATTCGAAAAAATTATTTACCAGACAAATCAGCACCGTAAAAAGGTGAATCGTAAGGTAAATTACGCCAATATGTACGTTCTAATTCTTTAATGTATTCTTCTTCATTATACGGAAGACTACTATTAATTTTTCGATAATCAAATTTTGCATTAGGAACAACTGTCAACGACAATAATTCAACAGTTTGTTGATTTACTGAATTTTCTGCATTATTTTGATTATCATAATTATCTAATATTTCATGATCAGGTGGTATAAGTCTAATAGTTTTTTTTGGAGAATTATCATCATTATAATCATCATTATAATCATCATCTATAATTATTTCATTATTATTCGAATTTTTTCTTTTTCCAGATGATTTTTCTGTGGAAGGACCATCATCACTACTAGTGGCTATTGTTGTTGTCGTTTCTGATTCATTTTTACTCAATTTGGGAGGTATTCTCGGATTCCAATATCTAGGTTCGGGAGGCATGTGTTTTTCTCGACAAAATTGGGCCCATTGTTCAACGGTATAATTTCTTTTTCTTTCCACATTTTTTAAAACATAAGTTCCGCTTTTTTGACGCATAAATAGTTGTTCAATCGGATTTTTTATATTAATGTTTTCTAATTTATTTGATAAATCCTTTGAAAGTTTTTCAGACCTATATATATATATAATTATATTACATCAATTATGCATAAATAAATAAATATATATATATATATATATATATATATTAATTTTAAAATTTACCATTCAACTGGAGGAATCACTTTAATGATTCCATATTCTGAGCCATACTTTTTCACTGAAGCAACGAAAGCACCAAAATTCTTAAATTGTTCCATTGTTGGTTTAAAGACTGGTGCGCCATCCCTTCCGTCATAGAAATGATCAGGTAAGATTTCAAAAGTTTCGTATTTGTAAGAATTGTTCATAATTTTTTTTTAATTATATAAAAGATATTCGTTTGTTTTCTTCTTAATAAATAAGTATTTATGTATTTTTATAATATGTGATAGGTAGGTCTTCATAACAAAACAAAACGAAAAACTACTCTCGTCCACTTAGATTTTATGATATAGATAAAAATTTTTTGTTATTAATTATCATTCATCATGTGCTTTTTTTATTGGCCTAAAAAAGTAAAATTTGAATTAAAAAAATTAAAAAACCTCAAAATTTTTTTTCATAATAATATTAATAATAGTATAATAGTGTGAGAAAGAAATAATAATAATAAAAAGGTAAGGGATTTTAATTTTAATTAAAGTTGGCTAATACTAATAATTTTAAAATCCCCAAGTTTATTATTATTATTATTATTATTATTATTACTTATTATTATTTATTATTATTAAAAATTTAAAAAAAAAACCTCCATTACATTATTGCTTAGTTCCATTAGATTGCAAAAATTAAAGTTTACTCTTTCTATGTGGTAGTTATAATTTTTGATATCTTTAGATGATGTGCATCATGGACATTTCAAAAGTATTATAATGATTCTAATTGTCCTTCGTCCAGAAAGATTAATCTGACCTCTGCTTGCGATACAACGAATAAAATTTTGAATGGGCTTGGAATTTTATTAAGAAAGAGTCGTCAGTATTCCAAGAAGCTGACGAATCAGCATTACAATTGTACATTATATCTCATTCTCTTTTTGGCACCTTAAAGTATCATTACTTGAGCGATGTAATTCATTCATTTATTCATTGTCTTTTATATCCCTTTAAAAGGGCAAATAATAATAAATAATAAAATGTATGCTAAACAACAACACATAAAAAGGCTGCAAATTAAAGATGATTTGTGATTGGGATGAGTGTCAGCAATTTTTGAAATCAAATATGTTCTATGAATTTTCTAGTGATAAAAAAGCATTCACTCCATTTAAATGAGAAAATATACGCTGGCCAAAAAAAAAAAATTCAACCAAAATTCAGCTGTTAATTTTAGGTGCCATAAACATAAAGGTGCCACTTGACAAGAAATCAGCAAGCGCGATTGACTATATAAACATTAATGTTGAATGAATGTTTATTCAAATGCTTGCTGTTCGGTTTTTTTGCTATATAAATTCGGATATAACATTATTCTTACTGAGTGGCATCCTTGCCAAAAGTGAATAGCCGAATCTTGGTTGAAAATTTTTTTGAAAAAAACCAAGAAAAAAAAAAAAACGGAACTCGGAAAGTTACTTGACTCAAACCTTTATAGTAATCCTTTACTGAAGAGTTATTTATTAATGGCACCCAGAAAGGTAAAACAGACGTAATCGCTGTTGGTAGCACTAAAAGAGAAAAACCTTTGGTTACTACTTCATTAAAAAAATTTGAATTTTAGAATCGTAAAGTCAGTATGAATGCTCTTAAACGCCGAGATTAATTAAAGAAAATCATCTAATTTTGATATTTACATTGATGAAATTACTTACCTCGGCCAGAAACCAATTTCAGTCTAATGGGAACATTTACGTTCTCCCTGATTGCATGTATAATTGTCATATTCATTTATCATACTAAGATAAATTAAAGACTAGACATGTCTTGAAAGTAGTGATGGTAGTATATTTGATTATGATTAGCATTTATAACTTTAATGTTTAATGTTATAGCTATGATTGTTTATATACCTAAAAGGACTAAAATTTCTCAATTATAAGAATCCATTCCATGTTATTTTTCTTCTACTAGGCAATTGCTCACATTGAAGCGATAGATCCTGAAACTTGAGCCCCAAAATAGGGCAAGGATGTATTATTAAAAGTCTAAAAAAAAAATCATGATCCGCGTCTTAAGTAAGGATGAGCAAAGAAAATATTTCAGAACTGCAAGCTCATTTAATCCCTTTTGAAGAATAAAAATACGTATATAAAATACCTAAAGACGTCCAAGGAAAAAGCCATGAACACTTACTTGACTGATTTATGTTTTAGATTGATTGAAATGTTATAAAACCCGTTAATATCACACACAAATCATTGTTTCATCACTTTGTATTACAGAAATTATTTCGTGACATGTATTTTCTCAAACACTAATACTAATTTAATTACGATGTGCATCATGAATTCAAATTTGGTTAAACGAATAGTTTCAAGTAGCTGAGCACGTCCATTCTACCTTAATGAGGAGAACAAATAGAACTTGATTCAATTTGACGATCTAGATTCGCAGCTCCATTATCAAGATTTAGTTCAAATCGCAACTGCTAATTGACCAATTAAATCTTTTGTAATTGACCGAACTGGAACTGGTATATCAGATGGTAGGCCAGTATCGGTGGTTTTTGGAAATGTAATAATTCTATTTGCTCAGAGGAATTCCCCTGGGTATAACAAATATATTTTAAAAAATGAATGATATATGATGTGCATCAAAAAAGGAAATTTAAAATAACGTCTGGCTTTACCATGATTATGTCCATTTTCATTAATCATTTTGAGTTGTTATTATTATGACGCGATTACCCAACATACAATATTTGTCAACATCAATGACGGATGGAATTAGTCAGACAAACAAATTATATCTCTGAGACAATTATTAATTACATGTAATTAACGCATACATGGAATCGCTCGAATGATAGAATTTTTTTCTTGATTTGTCCATTTATCCCAAATATGTTTACTGCCTCATATATACCTCAACATTACCACAAATCAATTCAATTGATAAAAAAATAAAAACCAGAAAATTAAATTAATTAATTTGTTTTGTTTGTTTATTTGTTTGTTGCTTAATTATTTGTTTGCTTCGTTGTTATTTTTTCTTTGTTTAAATTAAATATTACACTTAGCTGGTACGGGTCAAGTTTAGAAGTTTTGGGAACTTTCGATGTTTTTGGTTTTCTGCTATTATTACTAATGAACCAAAGATCAATGATGCAAGAAAAAAAGACTTTTTATTAACCTTTGTTCGCATTTTACACAAACTTAAATTTTATGCTATATATGCTATATTATTATTTTATTATCATTTCCTTTTGTGGAATAAAAATAAAACTTTATAAAAATCGTGGCATTCTGTGTTTTATTCCAATCTTTACTTTTTTTCCTTTTTACACATTCATTTTAAAACATATATTTTTTAAAACATCTCACACATTCACCCACCTTTTCACACGTTTATCCGTTGATTTTATTTTGCTTCAATTATTCTCTAAAAGCAAAGAACTCGTTTAAATGTTATGCAAAAATAAAAATTAAAAAGAGCACTTAAAAAAAATTTTCTTTCTCATCTTTCATCTTTCATCTTTCATTCTTTTCGATTCACCATTACTCACAAAAATATAAAAAATGAACACTTTGCTGGATCAAAGAAACAATGATGATAATGACGACGGTAATCGCAATAACAGTTCAACTTTAACTCCCAATGAAGTCCAAATCACAATAACAGAATCAGCTTTATTTTCACCAAACAATATAAGTCATAACAATGATCTCAACAGCATTGATGGCGATTTTTATAAAGCTAACTATTCAGATGAAAAATTACCAAGCTATTCAATCATATCAAAAGATATGCCACCAAATTATAACAAAGACGAAGAAGCTTATGAACACGGACACAGTAGTAATAGCAATGGCGATAGTCATAGCAGTTGTATTGGAAACACTAAACCTGGATCTTGGCCAATAACAAAGAATCTTTACATTTATGGATTTTTGTTTTGGCCGTTATGGTTTTTTGGCACATTTTTTTATTTTTTTGATAAAAGTTTGACAGAAAAAACTTGGGCAAAGAGGTGTTTGATAAATTCAATTGTGGCAGTTATTGTCATAATTTATGTTTCGATAATTATTGCAAGGTGTAATTGTAAATTCTATTAATTATAAAGAAAAGAAGATGAAAAAAACCAAAAAATTTTATTTTATTTTTTTTGCATTATACTCCATTCATTCATTCATTCATTCATCCGTTCATTCATTCTTCCATTTATTCATCCATTTATTCATCCATGAACACACGCGCGTGCGCAATCTTTCATTTTCATTTTCATTTTTTGTAGAATTAATTATGGGAATTTTTAAATATAAAAAATCAATCTTCTGATATTAACATTAACATTAATATTAATATATAAGAATTCAAAAATTATGTATTCAAATTTAAGCAATAATTTAAAAATGTCGCGTTGAACGTCATTTTATTTCAAAAATTATTCGTATTAGTATATAATTATGTAATTTTGCATCTTATATACACTTAAACGTTAAAATATTTAATATGGTTCTACAAAAACGTTGTTACGGCTCTCTTTGTGTATGATTAATCCAAAAATATTTCAATTCAATAAATTGTCTAAATGTAGTTTTTTACTTTACTTTTACACCAATAAATAAAGGTGCCAATCTACATTAAACATAGCCTTTAGTTTTCTATTTGGAAATTGCCTGATGATCTTTGACCTCTATGACTTCTATAATAGGGGTTATTTTACACATAAAAAAATTTGCGTATAAAATTAATGCATTTCATAGATTGATCATTGTATTATTATTTTTTTGATTTTTTAAAAAATTACTTGTAATATATGTGATAAGTTATCAGTTGCAAATTCTTTATTAATAAATCATATGAATAACAAGAAGTCGTATTGATTAATATATTTCATAAATCAATTGATTTGGATTTTCAAAGAAATGTTCATCGTTAGAAAAATGAAATCTGCTGCTTTTTTTCTATTTAAACAAAAAAAAAAAATTTTTTTTTTATTTTCACAGGTCAATTTACTTAAAAGGATAAAACTTAAAGCTTAATTACAGGAATGTATATGATTACGCAGCTTTGCATTTATTAATATACATTTTATTAAATAATAATATATTTTCCTTATATTTCCAAAAAAAATTCTGAAATATTTAATTTTGTTAACAAATATTTTGCTGTTTAATATATCATCATTATCACCATCACCACCGCCACCACCACCACCATCATAGTTGTTATTGTTTCTTTGAAAAAATAATAAAAATAAAAGCAAATTGGTGTTATTATTATTATTATTATTTATTATTATTATTATCATTACTATCATCATTATCATCATTATTATTACTACTATTATTATTATTACTATGGAAGGGAAGGAAAACGATCATATTATATTAAATGTTGGTGGAATTAAGGTAAGAAACATTCTCTTGACAATTTTTAAAAAAATAAAATAAAATAACACGTAAATTTTGATCAGATAATAATAACAATAATAAATTTAACAATAAATTACGTAATTTACACGTTCATATGTCTATTTATTATAATTATTTAGTATGAAACATATCGTTCTACGTTAACCTCGTATCCAAAGACTTTACTAGGTACCATGTTTGCTGATAGAAACAGATGTTTATTGCGTCCAATCAATGATAATGAATATTTCATTGATCGTAATGGTTATGTTTTTTATTATATAATTGAATTTTATCGTACCGGCAAAATATTCTGGAAAGAACATAACAGCAATCATTTAAGACTATTACAACAAAATAAACACAAGGATATTAATAATAGTGGTGGTGATAATAGATATCATAAAATACCATCACTATCTTCGTCGTCATCATCGCATTTGTCGTCGTCGTCAGCAATAACAGCAACAACACCAATTATTCCTGATGCAAAATTAATAACAAGAGAAGAATTAGAAGAAGAATTACATTATTTTCAAATACCGTTATCATGCATTTGGACATCGTTAAAACAAAGAGCAATTTCTTACAAGATTGATTTATTTGTCGAGGCATTGAGAGACGTTTATTTCGAGATATTAAGTGAATTCGAAACAAAAGTAGAAATAAAATTTAGGCGTAATAAACTTCGACCACACATAGAAACATTTAGCAATGATTCTTCCGATCTAATTTGCAAATTAATACTAAATATCATAAATCCATTTGAAAGTTGCGGTTATACTTTACTAGACAAATTTGGTACGGAAATTGGTTGTTATTTAAAAAACACTATTCCTGATCTACATTGGGAATTAAGTCATGTTGACAATTTTAATTGGTATTGCGTTAAAATGTTTTCTACTGAAAGTTTCAATTATGAATCTATTTTACAAAATTCTTGTCTTGGAAATAATAATATTCATCATCGTATAATTGATGATTAACATCATTTATATTAATTAATTAATATTCATTAATTGTAATTATAAAAAAATTTTCAGATTATAATATTTTTATCCTATTATTAATTATTTATTTTAATTTTTCAAAATAAAAATATTTCCTATGTTTATTAAAAATAGAATTAAAATATAATTATTATATTACACTTAATAGTATAATTAATTATTCATACCACGCATCATAAAGAGCAGCATTATTTTGTGTACCATCAATAATCTTATTTGTTTCATTACATTCGTGACCACAAGGCAAAGACCTTTATTTACACACTTCTTATTATCTTCAAAACCATCGCGTAATATTTTGTGTTTATAGATTTTTATGTGCAGTGGAATTGATGCTTTGTTCATTTCTAATCTGGACAATAATTATTCTTAACTGTCCTGTTGTTAGCAAAGTAGAATAATTCTTAATTTACATCTGGATGACAAATTAGGATATTTGGATCATATAAATCAGATGGTATAATTGATCTATGGTTTGCTGAAGAAATTCGACAAATTTTGATTTTTTTTTTTTCATTGTCTGCATTCCAACCGAGATTGAATTAGTTTTATGAATATTCCGATTAATTACATTACTCCCAAGTGTCAATTTCTTCCGTGTCCAAACCATCTCATCTTAATAAATCAATAAAATAATATTTCCTATAATTGAATAGCTTTTTAAACAAAAAATAATTTAGAGGATTTACATATTGAGCATTCACCAAGTTTCTTAGCACTTCAACATAAACTCCTTTAATCCAAACACAATCAGACAACTCTAATAACAACTGCCATTACATTCCAGGAAGTTTTGGATCAATATTTAGTCATCGAGTTCAAATATATTATTCTTTTGATTTGTCCATTTATTTGTTCGAAGTAAGGTGAACAGGCTTTTAAACATTAGAGCGAGTTTTGAATTCTTTAATATTTGGTTCATCCCCAAGAGATATTATTAACACATTATAAATCTTCAATAAAAGTTAAAATTTATTTAAGACATTATTTTTTTAAAAAAAAAAAAATGATCATCAAAAATATATGATACAATAAAAATAATAAATAAATAAAAAATTATTAAAATGTATAATTTAACAGTTAGTAGAAACTAACCATTAAGTTGCACTTTGAATACCTCAATTTCACTTGCATAAAACTTATTTGAATTATTATTGAGTAAATTAAGCTGTTTGTAATTATTGCTGCCACCATTACAACTAATACAATTATTATTCATCATTAAATCACCACATCCAAAATTAAAAATACTATTATTATAGCCACCACTATAATAATTGTTATAAAGAGCATGGCCATAATTTTGTATACAACAAATGATTGGATTTTTGATTTCATTAAAATCAAATGAAAATAAAAAACTCCTAGGATCATTATAGTAACCATAACTATAATTGAATCCAACTGAAGTGTAACCACCAACTATCCTGTTTGTCTTGTTACATTTTGTAACTACAAAACAAGATCCTTGATTTATACATTTATCATTAAATGTATTATTTTCGAAACCATCACACGATGCCTTGTATAAAAGAGTAAATGTGTATTTACTTTTAGATGGAATTAAATTGATGTTTTTTTCATTTCTGATCCAATTGATAATTATCCTTAACTGTCTTGATGTCAGCAAAGAGGAATCAATTTGAAGGTTACACCTGGATGGCAAATTAGGATATCTTGGAATGCTGGATGTCAGATGGTATGATATAATATCTTCATATAAATCAAATGGTATAATTGATTTATAAGGTCTAACTTTATGAAAAAAATCAGTTGAAGAAATTTGATAAAATCTAATTGATTTAACAAATTTTGATAAATTCTTTTTCAAAGCTTCAAGACCATCTGTATCCCAAGTTGTAACATCAGGGTTTAAATCCAATTCATTTGTTTGATGAACACCCCATTCAATTAAATTATTCCAGATATCAATTTCATCCATACTCAAATCATCTCGCATTGATAAATCAAATAGAATATCTTTTCCTATAGATGAATAGCTTTTTAAGACAAAAAATGATTTAGGAGAATTACATATTAAACTTAAACAATGTTCCTTCAGTTTCACACGTTTGGGTAATAGATAAACAGTGTGCAAAACTTCAATACAATTTTCATTAAGCCAATTTGATTGATTTTTAATAAGATAATCCTCAAAAAAATCACACAATTCATCATCCAATAACAACTCATCAGATGCTATTAAAATTCCAAGAAAATTTGATTTATCTACAGTACTCAAATCAAACATGCCTGTATAAATATATCTAAATATATATAATATGTATAGTATATATATACATGTGTAAATATTACTAAATGATTCTATTCTTAAAAAAAAAAATTTAAATTAAATTAAATTACAAAAATTACTTGAGCAACAAAGAAAAAACTACAGGGTCAATCTTTGGAAGTTCAATTATATTATTTTTTTGATTTATCCATTTATTTGAAAACTCGTGTTCAAAATAAAGTGAACGGACTCTTAAAACACTAGAGTGAGCTTTGAATTCTTTAGTATTTGGTTTACTTCCAACAGATATCAACACATTATAATCATATGCTTCATTTAATAAAGAGCCAAAATTTATTGATAATTTATTTAAGAAAGACATTATTTTAATTCTATAAAAAATAATTTTCCGACAAAAATAGTGTTATAATAGTAATAGAGACAAAATGATTTGTATTTTTGGTGATTCTGCGTATGATTACACAAAATTTTTAGCCCTAGATTTGCGGAATTTTGTCACCGTAGAAAAAATCGTTATGGGAGATAGTTTAACCGGGGTACAATATTTCAGGAATTTGGAAAAGGATATTATTATCCATTTATTTGCAAGATGCAAATTGATTTTAAACACTTACCCACTCACTTGAGTGGAACTTAGAATAGCAGTTATACCTCAAAAGTGAAGACTGTGTTACTTCCAGTGCGCCATCTATGGGTGACTAAAACTGCAGGCATAATTTTAGGCTAAGGAATAAATAAAAAATTCTCAACATCCAACTACGTCATCATAAATTTGCTAGTGATATGTGTATTGTACTTTGAATGCCTTGCTTTAAAACTGACTATATTATTGAGTAAAATTTGCTTTTATTAATGCTTAAAGCATCATAATCAAAATTAAATCTTGAAATATTATGATTACAATTTTTGTGATAATCATTATAAAGAGCATTGTACATGAAAATCATCGGATTTTTAAAATCAAAAGAAAATCAAAAACTTTGAAATCAACGTAATATACATTATGATCTTTAAATCCGACTGAAGTGTATCTACAAATTATCTTATAGTTGGCTCGGTCTAAAGACCTCCTAAATTTTGCATAAATTTTAAAAGTATAGAAGTTACTTTCTGTTAAAAAAATAGCGTTATTAATTGGTAGGATAAGGCTTTAATTTTAATGTAATAATGAGATTTTCTCAAAAATTATTTGTTCACGAGGAATTTGGCCACTAGTTCATTACTAATTTAGACCAGATCATGACAATCAGATCTAAATTTGGAAGTAAGAAATCATTTTAAAACTAAAATCACGTGAAGTCATATTTTTTGAAATTGGCAGCAATAGGAGGTCTTTAGACCGAGCCAACCATATTTGTTTTATGACTCTTGATTCACATATTTATTATTAAATACATTTATTTTGAAAGCTATCAAGTAATGACTTGTATAAAGAGTAAATATATATAGATTTTTAGATCATTTCCAACAGATACAAAATCTATTGATAATTAGATTTTTTTGCTTATTGTAAAATAGTAATTTTACAGATCACGGGAGAGTCAATAACAACAACAATAATAGATAAATCGGAAATGATTTACGAAAGTCGCACGGAAAGAAAATCGGAAAAACTGATCAAGAATTCAAACCTGTCCAATTTCATATTAATATTAATATTGTTGTTATTTAATCACCAATAAAAATAATTGACTCACGGAAAAAGACGGAAAAGTAAATATTCTAACATTCTAAATGCAACAAACCTTTAATTCTCAGGTTAAATTTAAACGAAGGGATTTAAATGATTTGATCACTTAATTGGTGGGGTGATACCAGAGAAAGATCTGCATTTTTAATAGTAAATTTTTCACAAAAATTGCGAATTGTCAACCTTTACACAAAAAATAGTATTATTTTATGTATGAATAAAATTAATCTCAAAAATAATTTTATCTAAACTTAACATAATTTGTGATGAATAAAGACTTTTCAATGCAGAGAACACAGATTTGAGGGCCTCTCTGATTCATTCACAAAGAAATCGGAGAACTAGATGATAGAACCTTTAACATGTATAAATAACGTTGTAATTTTCTTAGCTTCATGTATCATTTTTATCCTCATCATCATCTTTATCATCATCTTTATCATTATGGTGGTGGTTATCGTCACTCGTTGTCACTCATCACTCTAGTTTAAGTACAATTTCAGGCCCTGCATTCTACTTATTTATAAGTTTTATTCATTTAGATCAATCAATGTGCAAAATAAAGAAGACCTTCTGGCGTCATATCAAAAAATAGTGAAGGATCCGTTAGTACAAAAAGATATTTATAATTTTTACATATTTTTAGCTTCAAGAGATGCACTAACTTTTGGAAAGGGAGAAAGCACGAGCATTAATACGATGTTCAAGAGAAAGTATCAGGAAAGTAACAACATTTTCTATACGATTTAATAAATGTATCAATGATTAACTTATATTGTTGGAATGAAATATCAATATTGGTCACTGCAAAGTTATTGCCCGCGTGACGGCTGCACGAAGGGGGTAACTGGCATACCATATATTAATTCAGAATACATTACTAATTAAATATGTTAACCACTTTACAAGAGAGCCCTGTTAACATATTACAAAAGATTATTTTATGATATTATATGCTAAATATTAACCACCCTCCCTAGGAGGGCCCCATTAATATATAAAGCAATATTTGATATAAAAATTTTTTTTCTGATATTTTTTTTTTGACATGTTTTATTTTTATAATTTTAGGATGCAGAGTTCATTAACATTTCGAAAGCATTTTATTCATACATTAAAACTTTAAAAAATGATGGTGGTGCATATACACGTAGGAAATATATCAAGGATTGTGCTGTAGAAAAAAACGTGAGTTACTTATGTCAGAATAAGATTAAGAAAGATATTGAAATTGAAATCGACAATGATGATGATGATGAAAATAATGAAGATGTCAGAGAATCTGATGATGATGAAAATAATGAAGATGTCAGAGAATCTGATGATGATGATAATAGTAGCTATGATGTGGCAGTAGCGGAGAAGGAAGATGGTGATTTGGAATATCTTGAAAAGAGACGCATGTTGCTTAGAAGGATAAAAGAAGAGAAACCTATGGTAAATACAATAATTACATATTTTCTTTAACAATGAAAAATTATGTATCACATAGGCTATAATTCATTTAAATATTTTAAATATTTTTTTTTGTTTCTCATCTAAACAGAGATCCTTTTCATTAAAGCTGCATAATAAAGATGTTTTTGATGTAGCAATGAAAAATTTAAAATTGATGTCAATAAATCAATTTTCTTATGATCATCCTTTAATGTCCTTGAACATTGACTTTACAGACTTGAGATGGATAAAAAGTTCGAAAATTCAAGAAATGAACAATTTTTCAAATACTATGGTCGATAACACACCATATAAAAAACACAATCCAACATTATTAGACAATACATATCAAACATTAATTCAATTAATGTATTTTACTATTCTTAATCATTTATTGATATATATATATATATATATTAAATTTATATTTATTGGTTTTGTTTATAAATTATCATTACTTCATAGAGAGATACGTTGGGGAATCAACGAAATAAAGAATATTGGCTTCGAACACTATAATGAAGGCACATTTGAACATGAAGTTGGTCCTATTTTCAATTATCTAATTAATTTTAGAAATGTGCTACTTGTGTGGTATTTATCATTTCATTATTTACTAACAATTAATCAAGAATGAATAAGTAAGTTAGTTTTATTAAATACAGGGGGGAGGAAGAAAGTGAAGGGTCAAAAGAAAGAATTATAAATACAACAATTAGAGCAATTGGTCGAAAACCTGACTTTCGAGTTCTCTTCTTCCATAACAATAATCCATATGAGGTAGCATTCTGTGAGATAAGTGGTCCCCCTTCAGTAACTGATGGTGATAAATTTCAAAGTGATAAAAATAAGCTGTGTCGACTTGCTGCTGACTCCAAGGCAAGGATTCTCAGCAAAATCCAAGATATTAGCAGCTTTTACTTTGAAAATAATTTAGAGGATTTATTAAGTTGGCCAATTTATCTTCTACAATACTATGGTAAATATATTAAAACATATGTATATATTGTAATAATACGTAACCACAGTAACGAAATTAATTGCAGTAATGAAATTAATTACGGGTGACGAAATTGATTACGGGTGATAAAATCAATTACCATCCCATGTATAATTATTATTTTTCTTCTAAATTTTTCTGCTTTTGTTGATAAATTTCATAAGTAATCCTTTCTTTTCTTAGATAAGCTTCAATTTTCTGAGTATCATTTATTTTGAAAATATAAGGAGCAATTTTTTCACCTTGTTCTTTCTTCTGATAGTACTATAATTCTTAGGTTCCATAGTAGATCTGATGTAAACGAGTTTCATATTAACTATTTTTGTCTAGATAAATATCATGATCGTGATGTTAAACCAACAACACTGATCCCTGAAATCTTTGATAATACTAATGTTCACTTTGTCTGGTTTTGTTGCAGCATGCCCCAAATAATAATCTTTAAAGGAAAAGAAAATCAAGAAAAACATGGTGGGAGCTTTATTAATTGATCATATAATTTACAAAATTATATAATATGTGCATTTTTAACTTTTCTACAAGCTTACCCAAGACTGAGATGTTATTTAACTAATATATAACATATTATTATATTAATAATGATTTTTATTCGTTATTAAATAATTTAA